TGATAAAAGCATCTACTTAACAAACAACCTATTGTAAAGGTGCTGGAAAAACTAACCATGTTTTGATCCATCTTCTTTAGTCCCTAGGCAGAATCACAAATGTAACTTCAGTATCAACCTCTTCAGTCCCTTCGATTATTCTAGGGACTGACAAAATTGGGGCATTTGTATCTGAACATCATCAGAACATTGTTCCATCCTTTTTTCTGTACAGCTCCATTTCCTTTTAAGACAACGTATTGAAGTACCAATTTTTAAGTTTTTTTAGACCCTCAAACTCAAAACATGTTTGCATGAAACTATCAATAAATGCCAAATTTCCTGCCCGTAATGATACAAGTCAGGAAACCAATCTCTTAAAAATCTATCATTTTGTTTCCATGACTCATTTTCTATGGGACAGTACTTCCTAACACTTTTCTTAGCTCCACCTAAGTAACAGCATAATGTGATTCATTATGATTTAGTATCTAAGTCCAAATTGTTACTACCAATTGGGTGGCCTCATATATTTTATTTATAATATCTGTATACCTCTGTTTCCCCATGTATAAAATGTGTAAAAAAATCACTCATTTAAGGGATGGTCTCAAGAATTAAATAAAATGGCCTATAGTCAAATGCTTAAAGCAAATGTTTATTCTYTATTAATGCACTCACTTGACAAATATCCATTATCTATTATATGGAAGACATCATTTAATTAGACTTTACCTAATTTTTCTCTATAAAGTTTTTAGTTAAACAAATATTTTTAAAAAACATTTCACTCAAAAGTATACCATTTACTGTGGGGCACAGTGGCACACGCCTGTAATCCCGGCAGCTGGAGAGGCTGAGACAGGAGGATCACGAGTTCAAAGTCAACCTCAACCTCAGTAAAATGAGATGCTAAGGAATTCATTGAGACCTTGCCTCCAAATAAAATACAAAATAGGGCTGGGGATGTGGCTCAGTGGTGGAGTTCAATCCCCTGAATTCAATCCCCAGTACCAATCCCCCTGTTCCCCAAAAATGTATATCACTTACTATGAAGAAAGAGTTACTTAAGTCAACCAAGGTTTTCTACATTTTAAGTTATGAATTTTTTTTTAACTGGAGAAGTTAAAAAAAGTTGCATCTCAGCCCTGGAACACCTTTTAATAAAGAACATATTAAATGTATAAAGYAGGTTGGGGGAAAAAAAACAATTTTTATCAATAATGTATCTACTAGCTACAATTATTGCTTTGGATTTACTTTGTGGTTCTTTAGCCTAACTTATTTACCTGCTGAAAAGTCTATTATGTAAAACTCAAGAGTGACAAAGTACCTAAAGCATCCTGACACACTTCTGCAAAGCCTACTTTCTGTCCTGGAGGTACGTAAGGTGAGCTGAGAGACTGTGGGAAATAGCATAGCCTTCTGTCCTTGGACTGGAAAGGAAAGGCAATGGCTAAAATTTCAATTKCAAAATCTCTGTCAAATGTGGGATACAGTGATTGTAATAAAAATAAATGATCTATTTCTAGAAAAAGGAAACTGCTGCCTATCATCCAATTTTCAGTTCCACCATAAGCCTGGATAAAAGTACTGAATATATGTCTTATAGCTCCTCTATGGCTCAGTTTGTTATAGGAAAATAGCCTTCCTAAATGCTATAAAATTCCCTGCTTGTGCAGAAAATCTCAATAAAGGTAAAAGTGACTTAGGTCAAAAAGGATATATATGTTCTCATTTGGGGGGTGATAATATACAAAATGCAATATAATACGCCAAAATCAACAATTCTGTTCTCAATCTAGTAGTTTAAGTAATTCTATTTATAACAAGATTTGGTTTAAAAACAAAACAATAATTAATGGTTACCAAGGGTTAGGGAGAGAAGAAATGAAGAGTTATTGTTTCATGGGTAGAGGGTTCAGTTTGGAGTAATGAGAAAGCTCTGGAGATGGACTCTGGTGACAGCTGTGACATGGATAGATGTAATTTCCATGAATCCTACAGTTAAAAATGGCAAGATGGCAAATTTTATGTATGGTTATTAAAACATTTTTTTAAAATTGTTTGCATAAAAGAAGAAATAACATAAAAGAAGAATGTGTTGTTACTTGTTAAAATCCTTATTTGTCGAAGTCAATAATAAAAGTCCCTCAAAGCAACTCAGTTATGAGCACCTAATTAGAATGAGTCAGTAACATAACAAAACCATATTGTCTTTGGTGAAAGTCATTAACAATGCCAGGAGAGTATATTTATTGAAATATACATACATACATATACATATGTATATATTAACATATACATGTACATACATTCATATGCATACAATACATGCATATACGCAAATGAACACGTGTACATATACACAGATACAAATGTATGTACAAACATGCATTTATAAACTAGATAACAATAAGTTTGTATAGCTATCTCTTTTTTGTGTGCCTGTGTCAAATAGTAAAAGAAACCATGGTGAGGGTTGGTCAATATATATAAAGTATTACTGAATAAATCAGACTTGCACACAACCTCCAGTCTCACAGCACAAAAATGCTATGAGAATGGGGTCTAAATTTCTGAGTCTYCCTGCCCCACTCTCCCCTACCCACAGACAACAGGGTTGGTTTCTGTCTGCTTACCACTAGTCCTAGCACAAGGGTGCGGACTCTTTCTCCAATCTCTGGTGAGATGTCATTTCCAAACTGCTGCAGGGTAGTGAGGAACCKTTTCAGCTTGCTGAGTTGCCTGGCACCACAGGCTGGGGGCAGTTGTTGATTAGCCAGAGAAGAGGAGGAGGAAGAGGAAGGCCCGTTGCTAAAGCCATTGGGCGGCGAGGGGGCGCCATTCAAGGCTGTAGGCGAATGGCTTGTGCCATTAGTTACTGTCAAGGGCACAAAATCAGTAGGAAAAAATAAAATAAATAAACTTACAGAGAACATGCACAAGGAAACTGCTATCAAGTTTCTTYCCCCTGAAATCTAGTGATTTTGCAATTACAAAAAATGTCTGGACTTTTTGCAAAATGATTAGACTTCACAAGATCACCAGACTCAGGCACTCTCTCACTAAATGGGTCTACTCCACACACTCAGGGATGGCATTCTGCACAGAAGCTGATGATAAATGGAGTCTGCTGAAACACAGGGCCAGCTCTGCCTCCCATGTGCACATATGCCAACCACCTGAAATGCTTCAAACATAGAACAAACAGCTTTGCAAGTCAGCCTTTTGTCACAGGCTTACATCAATATAACAGGACTATTCCTTCCTAAACTGSTCCCCTAGAGAAAGTGTACATTTGGTGGAGACTAAATTTATCACTGAACATTTTTAATCATGTTTTGTACACACAACTGACAGCTGTGTTTATAGAAATAGACTTTCAAGTTTTAACCTTATACCACCCAATTAGAAGGCTATTTTCTCCCCCTCATATTTCTTAACCACTTATTTAGGGAAAAATGCAAATTTTACGTAAGAAGCCCAAATGGATATGGTATTTATCAAGGAGTTATTTCAAGAAATTGAAAGGAGACACCTCAATCCAACCAAGAGCATGGCTTGGTAGTAATTCAGTGAATTTATTTCCAATGAAATTCATTTGAACATCAAGATAATAATCCATACAAACGAGGCTAGAAAAAACTTGCATATTTCTCACTGAGGAAAATAATGATTCTATTATTTTAATTCAGTTAATTTACYGAATTAATCTTTATCAATCCCATTTTTAAGTATAATTGTGATTAATGATCTCTAGTAACATTCTGAGGAAGTTGTTAGGAACCTGTTCTTCTTACAGTTTTATTTCAAGATAATAATGTAGTTCTTTTATCCCAAATGAGAACCAAAGTAACCTGTCAAGAAATGATAGCTCAGCAGCCATCTCACAGGAGACATATGCCTATCACTGTGACTTTGGGTAACAACAAGCGAAATGTAAGATGACAGGGTTACAACTTGGCACGTCACAGTCTTCTGTTCCTTACACATTTGGAAAGGTCTTTTAAATGGCAGCACAACACTGCATAAACAGCTTAGGATGTGTATTTTTGTTGATCCCTTATAGTCCCACAGATCTATTTTGGCCTGTTAGTTATTTTTTCCTTCCTATGGATTTCATGGCACATGGTCTGTAAATAGTATTATCTGCAACAGATAACATTTATTAGTTTCACAAATCSTCGATGACAATTCTAAACAGAATTTTGAGATCGACTAAAACAAAGCTATTCCCTCTCTCTGTTGGAATATACAGGAAAGAAAGGGAAGTTGCTACTCTGTCAGTGTTATGTCCTTTCCTGGGATGCACAGAAAGCAATACACACCACTGGCTAACAATACAGGATTCAAGCTAAGTGGTAATGGAACAAAGGTTTAACAAAAGCCTGACAGGCTCAAGACAAGGTTGATGCTACCAATTTCAGAAAGGTATCTGCATGAAACTGTTGTGTACAGTAGTACCCTTTTTAACTTAAGGAAGCTAGATTTTTAACATTATAATTATTTGAAATAAAGGAAAGTGGTATTAGATCAAAAGTAACCTAGAAATACGTTCTAAGTCAAAATAAACTAAAATAAAATAGCTCCACATTAGACAAAATTAAAAGTTATAGGGGTGAGAAGTAGAGGTACCAAACAAACTCAATGTTCTTCCTTTGCTAGAATCATAGGAGACTCCAACTCCAAAGAAATAGTGCAAAGGAAAGCAAATATTKGCAGTCATGTCAAGAAGATGAAAGATAGGATACCTACTGACTAGCAAACAGATTTTTTTGGTGTGTTTCGCATAATACATTTTTCCCTTTTTATTTGCAGGAAAAAAAATTTAATTTAATCTTTAAAACCAAAACACAAAATCCAAAAAAATGACTACTTACATGTTGTTGGCGTAAACGAGCTGGTTCTTGGAGCTCCTTGAGTGGTTGGGGGCGGTGGCATGGTTGGAGGAGTCAGCCTAGATTGCGTCTTCACATCCACAGGTGAGTCTGGCATTGTGGAGTGCTTCTCAGTACGATCTGGAGGGTGCCACCAGGAACAGGTTATTCTACGCCTAAGCACCTCAGTGTTTCAAGTGGGATTTATCTTTTTAAAAAGCAAGTGAACAGAAGAAATTCAACATCTTCTATCAATAAACTGCGCTTATCTACGAAAGTTTAAATCAGGATTTTATCATCCAAACTCCACTTAAGAARGGGTAGCACAGATGGCAAGACCTCATTTGTAACTAGGTTATATTATATCCTATTGTTATTTCTGGCTTGGGCAGATGCTACCTTGGTAGTGTTATATGCAACAGCACAACTTCACTCAAAGCTGAAGCCAACATTAGCAAGAAGCAGAAAATAGATGAGGAAGAAGGATGATAATGAACCCCTTATGACAGCCCAGAAATAACAAAAACCAAAGTCTGTTATGCAGGTGAGACACTGGCAGGAGCTGGTTCTGTGATGAATTTCTGTAACACCTGCCATCCCCTTTCAATATGCCTGGTTTCTGGCCCATTAGATGAAACACATTATGTCTCACAGACATATCTCTCCCTTCAATTTTATCTTCCCTGCTTTAAAAATCACCCCTACATAAATGCTATAAGTTTCACAATGAAGTCAAGCTATTATTTACTTAAAATGTGTGCATCTTTGACCTGTCACTTTAAAAACATGASACCAGAACTCCAATTAATAATGTCAGACAAGTCAGCATGTAAAAGCCCCAAATTGAGAACTAATAAAATCAAAAGACACACCTATTTTTTTTTAAGTATGGGGCAGATACAGAGAATTTTCCTGATTACTCAACAATGAACATTTATAATGCAGAACTATAGTCTCGTAAGTATACTTTTCCCTTGAAATCTTGAACAGTTTTTCTCAATCCAATCTACTTATTAAAGCAATAAATCTCYGGAAAAAATGAAGTGGGTTTTTTTGTTGTTGTTTCTTTAGATCAACTTTCCTATAAATATTTGTGTATATACCAACCAAAAATATTTCTAGATGCTTCCACAGCTCACAAATATTTCTTATTCAAAGTCTTAGCAAAGTAACATAACAAACTATTCAAGAACAGGCCTTTTAAAATATTATAATCATCGTGAAAATTTCTCAAAATTATTTAAAAGTCAGTTATTAAAAGAAAATGAAAAGCCCAAATTACTATCAAAAACTCTGTCTCTAAATAAAATATAAAAAAGGGCTTAAGATATGGCTCAGTGGTTAAGCACCCCTGGGTTCAACCCTTACCCCTCCCCCCAAAAAAATTCCAAGTCTAGTTCACCTTTGTTCAAAACAATTTCTTTAGACTTAGTTTTGTAATAAAATATTTTTTAAAAATCAAAATAATATTGACACCATATTAAGAAAGATCTGATAAAAAGAATAAAAATAATAATTCTAATAAGTGCATTTTGCATGATGATCAGGTAACAGTATCAGGGTCTCTGTTTCTTCCTTTTTACTTCTGGCTGAACAGTAAATGTCCTAGATTGGATAAAAGTGTCCTGAGTGAAACGATAGCAGACACAGAGTTTTTCTACCTCTATCTTATTGTTCAAAAACTTGTTTTCCTATTGTTATTCCAGAGCATTTAGAAAGTAGTATCAGTCCATCATTTATTCTAGAAAAAATACCCAAGTTAGGCAGACTTAAAACTGCTTCTTCAATAAATTCATTGCACATTCTACTCACCTCAACCAACCTCAGCAACAAGGGAATAAATAGCTTTCGGCTTATGTTGCCGCTGAGGGAAGAGGTACAGCAGCAAATACAAGTCTCCCTAAATAAAGGCAAATATTTCTGTCATGCCAAGAAAGGAGGGAGAGAGGGAGGCTTGCCAGAGTCGGCTGGGAGATAACAGTGGGAACTGCTGGTCCATCTGGCTTTCATTCTGCTAACACTCACACGGAACTGTTAGCGAAGGCAGTCCAGATACACAGACTCGAAGCACGTGGTTGCACAGACAGAGAAAGGAAGAGCAGGAGGGGGAAGGGGAGACGGGAGGAATGAAGAAACAAATAAGCAGTAGAAGGAAAGAAAAAAAGAAAAGAAAGAGGGAAAAGAACAACAGAGAGACAGGAKTCTGCAGGGAATAGCTGCCCTCTCAGATCCATGTGCCCTGGCCTTGGAGCTGACCCTTGATGGCCACAGCTCCACCTTCCTATCCTCATAACAGTTAAGGGCCAAACACAGACTTTAAAACAGATCTCAAACCCATGCTTCTTTCTTTTCAAAATAGCCCACGTTAAGAAAATAGGCTGCAGACTGTCAATGAAGCTGTCAATGGGTCTCCTCTTCACACCAGAGATCTGAATTTATATTTATAATAATCTTTTTATTTCTATCTTCATCTCAATTTGAGACAGAGTTTTGACTTATTCATAATTTTGACTGGAAAACATATTAGATACCAGTCTCAGTCCATATTTGTAACATGGTTCCTGTACAAAGCACCATCATCAGAATAGGTAGGTGCTTTCTTTTTCATTTTTAAAATACCATCAACATTCTCAGCATAGTAACCATTGAACCAATGGATATAAAAATACCACCATCCAAAACAGGACATACACATTCTAACTGGAATATATGTATGTGTGTGTTTGTGTATATATATATATATATATATATATATATATATATATATTGCATTTTGACATTAGCCAAATTTCTGCGATGGTTGGCTTCCCTCTGATCAAATGAAGTTCCAACCCAGAGGTCCTACAAACTGAGACAAAGTGGGACCATATGTAACTCATTCTGTGCTGTTCAGAGCAATCAATCCAGGATGGAGATAGATGGTGAAAAAACGGGCCGGGCCTAATCCATACACACACAAAAACCCTCTGGAGCAGAGAGATTTAAGATAAATTCAGAAAATATGTTTCAAGTATTCTGAGCTCTGCTGCATTTGTTTTGGATTATTTGGAAAAAAAAATTCTGAAATATATATTCTTGAAACTTTTATAGCAAACAGCACAAGAGCTATGATTTAACCACAGAAGCATTTCACTCCATTTCAAATTAGAGGACATGGTAAAACCAATATTAAGTTATAGTATATCTCATGTAATTTTTTAAGTTCATGAAAATTATACTTTTCTGGTATGTAATTTCTATTTTTTAGTTGCTGGAGGGGAATGCTGACATTTATTGAAAGAATGACATGAACTGATTTTTTTWAAAAATGAGGAAGAGAAGGAGGAGGTAAAAAAAAAGTSGGGGGGGAGAGAAAAAAGAGATAAAATCTATTTGATCAGGCAGGGAAGGTAATTCTAATCAGAAAGGGCTGACTTTACTTCTACCATAATGATTCACACCACTTATAAACAAGGCGATCTTCTCTATCTGGTAAGATTTCTCTCACTTGGCAAATATCCAACACATATGTACCAAAGATGGCTGATGCATGGAAGAAAATGTGGCATATATAAATACATTATTGATACCATTTCAATATCCAATTCATTGTCAGGGACTTCTAGAAGTGGTATGTTTTCCATTTCCTTTTTTTTTTTTTAAGTAAAAAAGAGAAGGTATGGCATAATCTGCCTTGGCACTTCTTTGACTTCAACTTAAACAGTTCCAGATGTGTTTTTAAAGTATGAAAAATAGATATTCTACATTTTTCTTGTTGATATACCATTCCAGACATAGTATAAAAGGAAAGGTCAGTTTTGGTAGGTGGCACATCTTTTCTGTCAGAGTTTATCATATCAGTTATCTCAGAGGTATTATGGATTATGAAGAACTTCTCAGGCATTTAGTAATTAGTCCAGGGTTAGTCATACTTGAAGAAGTTTTGGTTAAGGAAGCTAAAAGGTATTTACAACAAGGAATGGGCGGAGGAGAATAAAAGTTCACTGAATTAGATGAAGGGGAAGAAGGGGGATGGGAATAGGAAAAGCAATGGAATGAATCAGACATAACTTTCCTGTGTTCACATATGAACACATGACCAATGTAGCTTCACATCATGTACAACCACAGGAATGGGAAGTTATACTTCATGTATGTATGATATGTCAAAATACATTTTTCTGTCACGTATATCTAAAAAGTAAAAAAAAAATCTGGAAAAAAAAGAACTATGACAAAGTGGAACCCATGTACTGCTAAAAGATAATAGGAAAGAATTAAATTGGGCATAGAATTTTAACTGGACAAGGTGGCAACTAAACTAGAGTTCTGATAATAATCATTTAAGGACTCCAATGTCTGGGTGTGAGATTGGTTACAGGCCACCACCCATGGACTAGAATGGTGGCAATGGCTACGCCTTCCATCCTACCTCCACGTTTCCCTGATGAGCACTTCTGGGAACGCCCATTCCTGCTCAGAACCCTTCCACAATGCCTGAGAATGGGAGTCAGTGCTGACCTTGTAAGCACAATGGAATGATACAGTGGAGGGATATCTGGCCTATTATGACAACTTCCAAGTTAAGACAAACTGACTTCAAATGTGAACTCCTCGACCACTAGCAGGCAACAACCACTAGTGGCTTACCCTGAGCCTCAGTCCCTCAGAAGTAAAATGGGGATACAATCCTTCATCACTCAGAGATATGTGGTGAGAAATGAGAAAAATGTGTTCAAAACCCTAGCATGGTGCTACTTGTATCAGGCACCAACAGGTGTGAGCTTTGTTCTCCTGGCTATTCCCTCAAATCTATGCTCTATCTACCACGATATCTTCCCTGACTTTTTGCCTTTTGCTTTAATGCTGTGGTTTCCCTGAGCCAAAATGACCTGCACCATTTTGCACATTCTTCACTGCCCATTATAGAACACACACATCCTATTACAGCTTTCTTTAGCTGCCCTAGGCACTGACCAAACCACAGAACCCCTGCCTCTCTTCTGTCATCTGTATACAGTTGGAGGTATCTATAGTATCCACTCCAACCAGCAAAATAGGTAGTCAACTTGATGGAAATATTTTTTTTAATTCTTCCTTAGGAGGATACTTAATAAGTTAAGTATATATACACACAAGGTTCTTATAGGGACAGTGTTAAA